TATTCTTCTCCTCACAGACCCTGAGCAATAAACAAGCTCAGGAGAAGGTGCCATAGGTTTGGCTTAAGGTTGTTTCAAGACAGACAAGACAAAGCAAGGGGCAGTCATATACTAAGAGGAGAAAGTAAAAACGTAACAGGGATTATGTAGGTAAGAGACACTTTGGTAGTGGTGACTTACAAAGAGTACGCAATGTTTGTCTTCATGCCTGAGAAGAAGACTGTGCACACATGTAAAAAAAATGCAGACTCTTTACACTGTTGGAATTAAAACTGAGAGAATTGGAGCAGCGAGTGGCTTTGCTTAAGGCTACAAGGCAAGAGGAAGTGTGCCTAGACAAGGGAGGCATTGGATGTGGAAGAACAGTAAGACAAAGCAGAGGAAGAGACGGCTGAGGAGAGAGCAAATACTGTATAGTGGAGGAAGCACCATGGAAAAGCATCCGAGTTAAGAACAAAAGAAGGAATAACATTCTCTCTGCTCACCTAGAAAACAACCTGTTAGCATAGCATAGATACTTTATACAAAGAAACAAGATGGAATCTCTCTTGCTCATTTCTCAGTTACAAAACCCATATTCCTTACAAGACTTTAACTCAAAAACCCATCTCATCACACTCCCTTCCGCACTTCACTTCACCATGCAACAGTTTTTTTTTAAAAAAAAGCTTGGATGAGCTGAGAAAACAAAAATACCTAGAGCGCAGGGAGGGAGTTGAGTGTCCCTAAGCAGTTTCCTCACTCTCCCCAATCTGTATGTGAACATGGAAGAATGTGACAGGACAGCATGACTGCCACCTTCATATCTTGTTCGGCCTCAAAGCTAACATTTTACAATATACTTTTAAAAAGTAATCGATTTCCATCTATGTAGATAATTTATTTTAAAAAATGCAATGCTTTTCTTGAAAAACAGCATTTTTGTATCTCCTACTTTCTCAGAATGCCCTTTGCATAGGATAAAAATTGCTTTTCAGTGCTTTAGTTATTGACAGAGAGACAAAATGTTGCTGGCTAATGATAATATTATATAGTTAGATTAATCAACAGATGTTTGTTAATGAATATTTAATCATGCTTATTGCATAGCACTTCTGCTGCATAGTGCTGTTCATCCACAGCTTTGCTGGAACCATTAAACCCCTTTTTATAGGCATACAGCCTTTGTCATTGCTAATAAGCCCTGGGGATCTCTAACTGGTTCAAACAGTGGGGTGCTTCCCTCATCCATACCAAAGCATCCTTTATTGTGGGAGTTGTGATCCATTGCAGGCGATAACAACTAAAAAAAGTCCCGGGGGGGGGTTTCCAGTTGTTCCATTGCAGGCCATACAAATGTTTATGCGACGTGAGGGCAGTAAAGTAAAGCAGATATATAATAATATATCTGTGCATACAATGCTGAGAAGAAACCCACATCAGAAGATCCTGACCCCAGATTCCTCAAGTACCTTCTATAGCTGTCGAAGGTGCAATGTTTTGTCTTGGTCAGGAACAGAACATGCCTGAACACTAAGTCAGCCCTCTCAGCTTTTGATGCTGCCACTTTGTCCGTCCGTATTTATTCACACGTTTATTACACCTTTAAACCGCACAACAATTAAAGTTCTTTGGGCTCAGCACAAATAAATTAAAAATAAAGCATAAAGATATACCTCACAATAATGTATAATGAAATAAAGTTCTTAATGGAAATCAAGTAAGTGATCGTATCCTTTCCTCTTAGAGCTCTGAAGAGTGCCAAGGATTTATGAGGGAGCCATAAAGAGAAGGTTTTTTTAAAAAAATAATAATAATAATTAGGAATTTCTCATTTTTTCCACAGTCGCCTCATATAATAGGATATCATCAGCTAGTCAGGTCCAAGGGGCATATCATAAGAGTAATATTGTATACTTTTATAATGGGTGTTATATTGATTCTTGCTTCCTGATAGTTCTTGAGTTATGGTTCTCTGGGAAGAAGAGAGTAGGCCTTGCCATCATGCAAAATAAGGAAGAGTTAACTTTTTGATTCCATGCGTGTAGGACATCGTTTTGAGTTGCACATAACTCTTCTAATATCACAGGGCAAATAATCTTATACATATTTAACTCCAATGAGTTTGTAGTAGTCGTTTATATATATACCTTTAGAAGCAACTACTTTAGTGCAATCCCATAGAGGTTCAATAGAATTTACTCCTGGATAAGTGCATGCAATACTGCAGACTGAATGATGCCAAGTTATCCACCACTCATCTCTCCCATTTTTGAAGACAAGCATAGTAATAGCTATCTGTATTTGGTAATTAAAATGCAATGGTATTTTGTGATTTTTCTACTTTCATGTGTGAAAATCTTTCTGAGTGATCAGATAAGGATTTATAATTAATGCTAACACCTGTAGAAAGAACTCTCAACCATTTTCATATTCAAACACTTCAGAGTTCAAGAGTTTCAGCAAAAGAATCCTAATATTCCCACTTAAGATACTTTTAGATACTTTATCTAAAAATGATAAAGTATCCATTTCCTTGCATCTTCAGGAATATTTTCTATTTAAACCTCCTGTCACTAATTAATTATATACAGATTGTCTGTTACATTCAGTGCTCTTTTTACTTGTGATAGGTACAACAGAATAAGATTAGAATCTAAGTATCACTATTAATAAAATAGATTCCTTAATGATACCCCTTCCACATTTTCCTATGCTTCTTCTAATTACTGTAATTTAATATGATTATTAATCACAAACCAGTCCCTTAAATATATGCAGACTGATAACCCTTTAGCCATGAAATTCCCAGTACGAAACACCGAAAAACATTATCATTGGTTTTAAATATTTATACCCCATCTTTCAACTGGGTTGCTGTGATGCCAGAATGTTAAAACAGAACCCAGAAAAGGTACCTGGCACCTCTAGACATTGACAGAAACCAAAATCATCCTCCCTATAACCTCTCAATCTCAGGGCAACCTTAGAGCCAAGTTTAGTCTGCTCATTATGACGCTGTTCTTTTTAGGTGGAAAGAGAAGGGTGCAACTTCCCAGTGTGTCTCGCACCTGAAGCTGGTGGCAAAAGATGGGGTGTCCTATCCTCCCTTCTGGCATCCCAGGGCAATTCAGGGTTTTAGCTGTGTTTGTTCCAGCTGTTGGTAGATGTTCATCCCAATCCTAGTTGTGCTCATTCACAAATAAGTGTCACCAGTTTAAATAGACCTGTCCTTATATAAGTGTGCACAGAACTCTATCCATAATTTGGTTGCCTGAGGAGCACAGTAATGTTCTTCAGTCTGAAACTACTGTCCTTGGCTTCAGTACATTAAGGTAAGAGGAGCACCAAGATCAGCAGTCTTAGTGAAGCCCTCGGGTTTACCAAAGTGCAGTTAGGTAGGAGTGTGAGGGAAAGAAGTGGGGAAGGCAGAAACATGGTTTTTCATGTCTGTGTCACGCAGGTTTATGCTATTTGATGTTGGAAGGCCAGGCACTCAGTCTCATGAGCAGACTTTCAAAAGTGATTGTGTGGAATCCTGGTTGGGCATGACACAAGATGAAGGGGTTGGAGTGTAGGAATTGTCCAACAGAAGAAGGAGGCCTTAAAAGGGATGGATCAAGTTGAATGACAGTTTGTCCAGCCATGTCTTCAAAATATTTCATTCCTAGTCTAGAATGTACAGTTTAAAGCTGTACAGTTTTTAAAAACTTACCTTGGTTGGTAATTAGAAATGTGATAAAGTAGATTATGTCCTTCCATTTTGTTTAATGATGAGGGATATACAGGTGCTACTATTGTTGTTGAATAAAAATAATGCATATTAGTGTGATGAAGGAAGAATGAATTTGTAGGGTTAACAAGTTCAAACTCTTTTTTCCCCCAGATACAAGATAATTCCTAAACCTAAATAAAAGTGCAAACATTTTGTCATGTAGTGAATATAAACAGTTGGTTCCTCTGGTGTGTCTGTAAATGGCAGCACTTCAGGATGTGATTTGTATGTGGTATGGTTGCATATAAGGCCTTTGTGACACTTCATTTAGCAGGCAAAAAATATAATCCTTCAGTTCAAAATTAAAATTAAAAAAATGAAAGGAACATGTGAATGCTAATTTGATCTGAGAGGTGTTGGTTTGTGGTACCTTTTTGTGTTTCACTATTCCCATATCCCCAGTGCCTGTCTTGTTCCACTATTCCCATGTTTCTTCCAAGAATTAGCAACAAACACCTTTAACTTTCAGTGTGCCAGCAGAATATTAAATACAGTGAATGCATCTGTAGTTTTCCAATTTTCTTGTGTAGAATTAATTTGATACCGGTTTCAAACTAGACACTGACTGATGTGGGACATGACATGAGAAGCGATCCATTGAGTCAGATGTGGGGAACCTATGGCCTCTTGAGTGTTACTGAATTACAACTCACATCGTGTGTCATCATTGACTTTGCTAGCTAGCATTGATGATGGTTGAATCAAGGGATGCATGGAGGTCCATGTGTCCCCACTTCTTGCTTTAAATGGACAGTTATCTAAATGTCAGAAAGGATCTTGTTGGTCTGGCATCTGCTCAAAAGTAAATTCTATCAAGTTCATTGAGGTTTGTTCACAGGTAAATGGGTATGGGATTGCAGCCTCAGAGTATAGTCCCTAAGTTGGGTGCTGCTCAACCTTATCTTCCATGGCTCCTCTCCCAAAGTCTCAGGTACACAAATTGGTAACTACAAGCATAGAATAATTTGGTGTACCTAGAAACACTGCATGCAGATCTGTTAGTAAGTGATGTAGAATGTGTATAGACTAAAGTTATGGAGACAGACTTGAGGGGAGACATCTCCAACAATTCTAAAATGTAAGTACAAAAAGACACAAGATTGGAAGGATATTGATGATGTTGTTTCAGCACTAACATCATCCATAGACTCCTAGTGTCTTTGTTTTGCTTCTTCTCTAGCGATCACAACATAAATTGCTTGTCTTGTTTGACTTCCTTGTTCACTAAAGTTGAGCAGATTGTGGCCGTTTTCAACGCCTCCACCAGACAAAAAGCCTGGGACCATTTCTCGAAAGCTCAGCGCAAGAACATAGACATTTGGCGAAAGCACTCTGAGGTTGGTGAATTTATTATCTTTTATCCATCATGTCACAGCCTGAACAAAGAGGGGGGGAAGCAAGTGTATCTGTTTTTGGTTGTGGTCTTTTAGCATTATTTTATTGCTCTCATTCTAGAACTTAGAAATAATTAATAATTGTTTATACCACTTTTCTGAAAATATTAATAAAATAAATTGAGAGAAACTTGTCCCCACAAGAAGCTTTGCATATTATTTGTACTAAAATACTGACTTGAAAGGATTAGGAAAGGTAATTTAAAATGAATAGTCTTACCCTGCCCTTTATTTATGCTGAAATTAATTTGTTTCATGACAATTGAAAAGTGGCAAGAGAAAACAGATTGGCTTATTCTGTTACTAATCTCCCATAATGAATGGTTTTATAGTTAAAAAGAAATCTACATTTCTTTTCATAATAATTGTGAAAATATTGCAAGGCCTCTTTACAGCACTGACTTTTTGACAAAATACAAAATTGTGCTAACGGCCACAATCCAAAAGAGGTGTTTTAGATGCACATATAGTTTAATGCACTGCCTCGTCATTCTAAATCTTTTCCTTTAAGCAACAGCCCAATAGAGATGGGGAATCACTATGCAGGTGGATAAATGGATAGATATATGTATTTGGGAAACTTGGGGACCAAGAACATTTGCTAGCATCAAGCTGACATGGGGAACCTGTTTCCTGACAAAGCAGGTGCACCTTTCAAAATTTGTTTTAATGATCTCACTGATTTGGGAGAATTTCACCCATTCCTCTGTTGTTCTTATGTGCCTTCAAGTCAGAACCAGCTTTTGACCCTAACAGGGCTTTCAAGGTAAGTGAGGTATTTAAGGAGTGGTTTTGCCAATTCTACACTCCCCAGTGAGTTTCCATGGCTGAGTGGGGATTTGAAGCCAGGCCTCCTGCATCCCAGTCCATTACTCTATCCACTGTCTACTCTATCCACACTGGGTATCCCGCTCCTCTACTCAGAGGATAGAGTCGCTTTCTTTGGTCTGCTTGAATTTGCCTTGTTCCTTTATTCCAGTTACTCAGCACTGCTATCTATACCCTTCCCTCCTTGGAAAAAAAACCATCCCATAGCTATTCATAATCATGGCACATGCACCTACCTGCTCACCTGCCTAGGGCTGAGAAGGCTGGAAAAAGGCAGTGGATAAATCCTGTTGGAGCAAAAGAGTTGTTGTAGAAGTAGCCAGATTTAGGAGGTAGAGACAGAAGGGAAATAAAGGGAAGGATCTGTTGCTGTTTGGGTCATTTGGATCTTGTCCATTGTACATGCATGGTGAGAAGTTGACAGTAGGAGAAAATATAAGAGTTTATCATTTGGAGAAGAGAGAGATTAAAAAATTGATTCCTACATGCTTAACCTTTTGACCATGCCATGCATATAGGACTTGATTCAGTTTTGTAGTTGTGTGCTTTGCATGTAGGGTATTTCTTGCTTTTTGGTTGTAGCCTGGATTGTGTTGTGGGTTGTGAGAGCTTGACATCATAAATGGATGGTGTTGTTTGGGAGCAAGGAAATGGTAAGCATATGCAACACCTGCACAGTATAAAAGAATGAAGCATTTTTTGTAGTCTTCAGCACTGGATGCATGCAGTCTGTCTTAGGTATGGAGTTTAAACCTGCTCTCACAGCATCTTCACTGGGCCCTTACCAGGGTCCAGAATTGCAAGGGATTGCAACTGAAAACACCTAGTCAACTCTGTTTAGGTGCAAGAGCCTCCTGGGCACTGGACATTTTTAGCCTCAGGGCCCCTGTAATATAGAATAAATTGCTTCTGAAATTGGGCTTTTATGCGTGGCTTGGCGCAGAGCATGTCTGCTATGGGAAGGGAACCGGAAGTGCCAAACTAAAATTATACATTGTATAACAATTACTCTAAAATGTCCTTTTCCTTCCGAAAGCAAGAGCCACTGAAACCAGCAAAATTTAGACAAGACCAAAATTTGGCTTAATTTCAACAGCAGTAAGGAAACAACCTAGCAAAATACCTGAGAACTGTGAGCATAATGAACACAATTGAGTTGGATGGAAGTCACGTTTCCTTTGAAAACGTGGCTTGTTTTCTTGAAATATGGGACTACATATATGCTTCACCTCCCTATGAATGTTTATTTTGTTAAGTAAGAAAGTGGGACTATTGTGAGCTTTGGGGTGCTTCCAGATGAAAAGCTTTAATTGTGCAGTTGTCCTGCCTCAACCATGGAGGTCCAGGCACTGTCCTCCTTAGTTTGAAGCTATCCAATGCTTTAGGGTTATTCCTTATATCTTTCTTCTTCTAAAGAAAGTCCTTTAAGGAAAAAGAATTGCTTAACACTGCCTTTCAGCAGTGAGTGCTAGAATTCCTCCCTCTGGAAGCACATATGCTCCACACTTGGTTTGGTTGTTCTGCTCATGCTTTGAATTTAGCATTCAATGCTATGAGAACTTTTTTTTACCCCCCTGAAGTAACTACAACAGTTTTTGTGTGTGTGTGGTTTTTAAAAAAGAGAAGTTTACCTCCGTTCACTTAGCATTCTCTTAGTTCAGCATGTCAGTTGTTGACATCACAATCTTTCTAATGTTCCCTTACCTGACAACCAAAAACACATTTAGAAGGTAAGATGTATTTATTTAATTATTTTATAGTATACCTGTAAAGGAGCATTGCATGCCTGCAGTTTGAAAAAGAAGAAAGTTGTGCTTTGATCTAATCCATTTTACATAACATTTTAAGTGCCCGTTAACAAATGCTAAATTGAAGAACAGGGAGAGTGGATGTATCGTGTACATGAATACAAAATGAATCCTTTGTTATCACTGCTGTTATGGTGCATACAAAATAATATCAGAATGATTGGACCATTTGTATATAATGTTAGTAAGTGCAGTAACTTATGGCTTATTTACACAGAGTCCACCTGAGTGTCACTAAAGGCAAAAGATTTTGTTGATCTAGTTCTTGTTTTCCTAATGTGCTACAGATGCACAAACTTTGAAGTTTCTGTGTTTTTGGTAATATCTACACTGAAGATATTCAAGAGGGAACTAATTTTGTTAGCATTTGAATTTTTAATGTAGGCAAATGCACTGAAAAACCTTTCCATTAATGCAAATCTACAAAACATCTTTGCTTAGTTAACAGTTATTATTCTCTGCCCTCTGTTGTTAAGCTTTTTCAAAGCAATAAACCAGAGTCATTACCAGATTTTATCCAAGCCATTGGTTTATCCTTAAAAAGAAAAAAGATTGTACTTTGTGTATGATGTGTATGTTTTGGAAATGTTCTTTTATAGTCCCTCCTCATCTTAAAAGCTGCTCTGAACAGTTCCCCAACATTACAGGTTATAGAAGACACTGGAGGTGAGGAAAGTGGGGAGGGTGCTACTCCTGTCCTCTGAAGATGCAACAGAGACTGGCCGGCCACAGAGACTGGCGCAACGTTAGGAAGAACAACTTTCAGAACATGGCCAAAGAGCCCGAAAAACCCACAACAGCCATTAGATCCCGGCCGTGAAAGCCTTTGTGAATACAAATATTACCCTGTTACCTCACTGAGTTTAACTGATTAACTAGCTTCATCACTGACTGACTGGTTACATAGCTGACAGGGGGGAAAAAGCAAGTGCGTCCTGCTTATATACTGCCCCATAGTGCTTCAAGCACTCTTTGGGCGGTTTACAAGTTAATTATGCAGACTACCTGCCTGCCCCAGCGAGCTGGGTACTCATTTTAGTGCCCTCAGAAGGACAGAAGGCTGAGTCAACCTTGAGCCGGCTACCTGGGATTGAACCCCAGGTCGTGAACACAGTTTTGGCTAAAGTACAGCAGTTTAACCACTGTGCCACAAGGCTCCTAGAACACTTCACTCTAACTCTCCACCTCTGACAAACTCCATAACTAATACTAACAGAACCTTCACCGGAAAAATGGGTGGGTGGTTTGGGACTCTAAGGTAGAGAGGAAACAATTTGCTGATACTAAGTTGACTGACATTCACCTCAGTTCAGAAAAGCTCCCTCCCAGCCAAAACCTTTTAAAGACATCATATGTACGTTGCAATAGATCCAACACTAGAGATGAGCATGAACTCAATTATGAACCAGAAAAATGGATGACTTGCACTGGTTCATGGTTCAGTTTGTGACCCAGTTCAGAGATCCTGTTTTCCCAAAGCTAAATGAAGAACCAAACTTTTTTCCCCTCAGTGTTTTATTTTGCTTTGGATGCCCACCTATCCTCTTCCCACTGTTCCTGTTGCCTTCCCTCCTGGTCCTGCCACTGCTCTCATTGCGAGAAACAATGGGCCAGCTTCCCTTTCAGAAGCTGGACCTGCTGCTTCTGCACATCCACCCGTACCCCAGATGATCAAGGTGGTCAGTAGGGGGTGGGGTGCCTGCGTGGAAGCAGCATCCAGGGTCCTGGAAGGCAGTGGTCCCCAACCTTGGGCCTCCAGATGTTTTTGGACTTCAACTCCCAGAAATCCTGACCAGCAGAGGTGGTGGTGAAGGCTCCTGGGAGTTGTAGTTCAAGAACATATGGAGGCCCAAGGTTGGGGACCACTGCTGGAAGGGAAGATGGCTGCTGTTTTATGTACATGCGCTCACCTCCCAGCTGATCAGGGTGCTTGGTTGTGCTGCAGCACCTGGGCTCCTTGTCATTGCACAGCCATGTAACCACCATTGCCACCATGTGGTGGCAGTGGGGCAGTGGTGGGGTGGCAGCGGCAGAGTGGCATGACAGGAGAAGGTAGTCTACCCACCGACCATGAACCAAAAACTGAACCAAGAATTGGTTTAGTTTTCCAGTTGGTCCATGGCAGTTTGTGGTTCATGGCTCACCCCAGACCATCATGAACCACCATTTTTCAGGTTCGTGTTCAGCTCGGGCCCACACCTCAACATCATATGAAGCTGCCCTCCTTTAGATCCATCTTGCTATATAAGTCCGTAAATCAGTCTTGTGGAATAGGCTTGGTCAAGGTGTCCACCATCACCTCTGTTG